CGACGGAAAAGCGAATTCCAGCGCCCAATGACTGCGTAGAATCATCCCAGCGTCGTCCGTACAACAAACAACTACTACCAAACAAAGAGTAGTGTTTGTGACAATGCGAAGAGGAACCCAAAAGATAACACCACCGATTGATGACTCCCACAACATGTACGCTCAGACACCGTCGCTTTCGCAAGATAGGCGCCCAACAAATGGTATATACCGACCGCTTGAAACCCGAGAGAGAGAGATAAGCCAACCGCACATAGGAAATCTACCCTTTGTAATGGCAAACGTCGACGAGACGCAGCCGGGCAACAAAGATACAGAAACACCGTTCTGTAACCAACAAGTTTTTCCAATAGGAATAGCCAGAAATGCGAGACCCAGAAACACCGTTATGTGCAAACCGCCGTTAATGCGTTAGCGCTTGTAAAACAAGGACCAAGCGCTCTATCCGGAAATGATGTGTTTTTCGCTATGATTGCAACGCCGTTGCCCCGTTCAAGTGGTATACCCAAGATGTCGAAGAAGATATCGTGATTTATACAGGGAGAGCCGGTGGATATCGAGAAGAAGAGGATTAGATCCAGGTAGCCACTAGCCTAGCAACACAGACGCCGCAATGTTGACCGAATAAAGACGCTCGGCCGCGTGCCTGCAAGACTTTACCAGCGTCGCGACATGAACTGTTGCTGCATCTGTCGGTTGGGGGAGACAGAGGGAGGTGGGCTAGCAACAGCGCGTGTCGAGGGGTCGACGATGGGGATGGCATTGCGTGTGCGCTGGGCTAGCGGCTGGTGCAGCTTGGTTTGCGAGTTGTTCTGTTGGAATCCGACGGGGGTGTACGGGTTGGGAGCCGAGGACAGGACAAACGAGGGGGTCGGCTGCAGCTGGTGCTGAAGCGGCGACTGTTCAGGCGAGCCGCTCGATAGCGACGAGCGGTCTGAGCCGGACGAGTGGATGGATTGCAACTGTTCATCGAGTGTCAGCGCCAGTTCAGGCGGAGTCGACGACATGGGCGGGTGGCAAATATTGGCGACTTACATCATCCTCAGTGAGCAGGTGGAAGGGGCAGAACATCTCGTCGTCCTCGATGTCGAATGAGCGGGCGGCCTCGAAGTCGCGCTTGTATGCGATGAGGGTGGGGGGCTCGACGTTGAACTCCTTGGGGGTGCGGACTTGGCGGAACTGCTTGTTGTGCTGCTGGGCCGAGATCCGGGGCGCCCTCCGCGATCGGCCGCCGTGGTGGTTGTGGGTGTGGGCGTTGAGGTGCTGGGGGTGGTGCTGCTGGGCACCGTAGTTGAAGAATTGCGACATGTTGGCGGTGGTGGTTTGTGGTGGAGTTGGTTGGGATGACTGTTGGGCGGGGAGGGGTTGTGTTGTAAGCCAGGCAGCGCGACCACAACAAAGGCGAAACAAAGGGGTATAGCTCGAAAAGCGGCGGGTAGCGGTGGTGCAAGATGCAGCTGCGGTGTGCGAGAGAGATGCGGGTGGTTTTAGTTATTAACTACGGGTATTGCGATGCGAGGCTGAGAAGATGTGGTGAGAGATGCGGTGCAGAAGTGCGAGGAGCAGGAGGAGCGAAAGGGCTGGAGATGAACAGGCTGGGTCAAACGAGATGTGTGGTGTCCGAGTGCCTCGATTTTAGTGCGAGGCCCGCCTGATTGGCTCGCAGCCCTGCTAGTTCGCCACTCCAGCGCCCCCTTGGACTCGAATCGCTCTAGCGCCGCAGGGATTAGCCGTTAGCGCCCTGTGCACGCTTCTGCGCTGCGAGGTCAGAGACGCCGCCAGGTGTGCGCAGACGGATCGCCTCCCGGGCCAGCGCCTTCATCCCTCCTGCCTCGAGCATCGAGGCAGCTTGGTTCAATAGTCGGCCACGCCTATCGCGCACTCCTAGTCCACCTAATCGATAGACTCCAGATAAACTCAGATGAGGATGCGCGCAAAAGTAAATCCCGGGCGGCGGCGCATCGTCAAACAGCCCTTATGCGACACATGACGCTAGGAGCTGCCAGCCCAGCGAGGCTGTGAGCTGGCTGGCAAGTGACCACCCACCGTCTTCTGCGCCCTGACCGCTTCTTCCGCACCTCTACCGCCGTCGCCAGGGGAATGCAGCCTGCCCATCCGAGCCACTGCCACCACCGCCTGTCCCCTCGAGGCCGCCCTTCAGAAGCCTCCGGGACTTGCACTTGCGATGCGGCCGCCCTTGCCGACGACTGAACGCTAACGCACCTGTGCCTGCGACGGCCAGCAGCAGCTTGACACCGTGGTTGAGCCCATGCCAGGATTCGCTCGTGGCCGCCGAGTCCCTGCCGACGGCGCCTGCCAATCCCTACCATTACGACGCACTGCCCATGTTCTGGAATGCCAGCTCAAGCACCCGCCTGTCCATGAATCTGTTGAGACCACGACCACCTGCTGACCAGCGCGACACCATGCGAACATCTGCCTCTGGGCCACGCCGTTGCACCTCCGACTGCCAGTGTCTAAACGCCGACGGCCATGCGAGACGTTTTCCACCCGTCAGTGTTTCCGAACACGCCCGGGCTTCATCTCGTGTGACGTCCCGACGGCTGGGATGCCGCGCCCTGGCCAATGGGACGCCGCCACTAGCTGAGACCAAAATAGCGCAATGTCTTCGTTCTGCCCGGCCCGGACGCTCGACGGCCTGTCCAGTGATCGACGGCCTTAGGCAGGCTGTCGTCACTCCATCTTGGGGTGATGTCGTCGTGTTATGGGTACTCCATGACGGGCATCGCGACCTCTCCATCGGACCCTGACCTGACCATCGTGAAGTGCCGTGACGTCCATCACTCGCAAACATTTCTGCGACGGGCCAAGCTTCCTCGCATGAAGAACCACTTCAGCTCGAAACACGCTCATTTGATCGTCTCTCTACCCTGCGAAATGCGCAACTCGACGCGAGCGTATTAATTTATATGAAAGCAGGCGAAGTGCATGTATTGGATGCATAACTGATGTCGATGAAAAATCCTACTGTGAGGCTGCTTACTGCTTAAAGTGCTGACCACCCCGATAAGCTCGCCGACAGGGTGGCCGCAGCTCGTGGTGGCACAGCGAAGTGATACCTGGGGAAGCCCTATGCTGCGGCGGGTGGCGCATGGCCGCTGTGATTGACAAGCAATGCATGTCCGCGAAGCCGTTTCGTCTGGCACCAGGTCTTCGGAAACACAACGGACGGATGTTTGCGTACTCGAAGAAAGCTAAACGCGTCATCTGTTGCGTTAGACATAAACGAGCGTAATGCCTGGGAGCAAGCAACCCAAAGTCTTCGTTATGTTAGAAGAATTAAATATGTCAAGTTTATCCTGCGGAAAGCTACAAATAAAAAATAGACCTGCTCGTGTGTGTTGAGCTTGTTGGCTGTACGGGATTCATACAGTGCTCATAATACCGTCGAGCTGCCAATACTCAAACGCCACTCATCAACCTCCAAAGACACCCCTTCGAGCCAAGCCAAAATCTACTTGTCCAGACCCCTTGCCTTAACAAACTTCGCAATCTGGTCTTTGCAAGTCTTATCTGTATACGTCTCCCAGACTTCATACAATGATATTAACTCCTGCGTGCACTCAACAACAGCCTCGATATCCACACTGCTCTCAGCAAGCCAGTCGACGAGTTTCTGTATCCTCGCCTGCATGCCTTGCCCACCGCGTGCATTACCCAGCGTCTGGAGTGCGTTGTTCATCCCGGCTGCATTGACCTGTGAGCCGATGGGCTTCAGGACGACTGCCAAGAACATCGCCGTGATGGCGATGACATGTGGTGCGTGAAGCAGCGGGAGATCTGTGAGGTAGTGATCGTTTATGATAGACCATGCTAGAGCGTTCTCTTCTTGCGTCAGTTGGAACTGGGTCTGCAGTTCCGCGAGGCTGCGGTATGGGTGGTGGAGAATTAGTTGCGAGTTCATCTCGGAGATGAGTGTGAATTCGCACTCGCCGATCTTAGAGACGTCGTTGAAGGATGTGTCTGGAACCTGTTAGGATTGTTTGGTTGATGTGCATGTGATGACTTACCCCAGCAATGTCGTGCCTCTGCCAGCACCATTCTGATGTGCTGCGGGCATTCCTCCATCTTACACGCTAGGTACAACGCTGTTGCCAGAACGAGCGCTGGATTTGTCCTTCGGATTTCTACCTTGGCGTAGAAGCGTCGGACGTATACTTGAGCAGTAGCCAAAGCTTGCTGTCGAATTCCCAGTGGTCTTGCCATTTTAGACAATTCTAATAAATGTCAGCATGAACCCGAATTACCAGGTCACGTTACTGACGATGCGAAAAGTAAATGCTCAGATGCCGCCGATCTGGTAAAGGATATAGGTTGACCAGGTTCCTCTCTGCATCTTCCATTCTCTTTCGTTCAAGTGCCAGCTCTTGCTTTGTGAAAGTCCAGAACTTCCGCTGGGTTGACTCCCAGTAACTAGACGACATGACGGCGACCGCGATACAAGAAATTATGATGCGAAGCTGAAAATACTGATTTGCTCAAGCGACTGTTTGATGGAGTCGTATGCCCTTCGAGTGGTGCGATAACCCTGTCAGATGTCTTCTCAACAGCGAACGCGATTTCGTCAGGCTGATAATAGTTTGATAATGCGGACGCCAGTGGACCAGTAGGCCAGGTACACGGCGACAGAAAACCAATCTCTCAACGCATTATCGGATGATGATCGATATGAAGTGAGTGCGCGATGCGAAGCGTAGAAGGAGGTGTCGGGGCTCAGACGTGGTGTCCAATCAGATGCGAGCGAATGTTAGGCTCCTGTCGTGGCTTCCCTCGGTGTTGCGGCATGGGAAGCTAGCCTCTTTCAGCCGCCCTCTCCAAGCTTTGAGACTGACCTCATACCCCACGTCGAAGCCTATACGAGCCCGTGTCCCTCTCAGCCAGCCATTCCTCTCGCAATTCACCTCGCCCGGTGCCGATAGTCGCCCTCCCGTGTGTGTCGCGACCCTCAGCCATGATAGACCGGAGATAGCAGGACGACAATGGACACACAGAGCGCAAGCGTTGCCGACGGCAGGGTGGACGAACTATGGGCAACTCTCGACACGCGCAAACAGGGCCATCTTGACCTCGCAGGCCTCAAAAAGGGGCTGCGGAAGCTGGATCATCGTAAGGGAGGATGTTGCGCGCAGACTTCAGGCCGCTAACCCGACATTGTAGCCTTGAAAAATGCGGACCAGCTCCTGGACGAGGTGATGCAGGCTGTAGATACCGATGGGAATGGAAGGATCACATACCAAGGTGGGTGCGTTCTCTCTGACCGAATTGCACGTGTACTGACGCGATTCGAGAATTCCGCAAATTCGTACACGAAACCGAAAAGGAGCTTCAGCACCTGTTCCAGACCATCGACTACAACCACGACGGCAAGATCTCCAAGGACGAGCTGCGCTCAGCTTTGCGAACGGCCGGCCTCACAGTGCCCAACAGTAATCTCGACAAGTTCTTTTCGGAAGTGGACACCAACAATGATGGGACCATCAGTTTTGAAGAATGGCGGTATGTACCCAGTCAGTTTGCGGTCGTCACAACGGGTGGAATTGGAGTGGCATCACACACGGTGGAAGCGCGAACAGACTGAGACCACTGTCGTTTGGCCTAAAACCGCGACAGAATGTCAACATGCTCTGCAGAAGTCGCGTTATGACTTTCACGAATCTTACTAACTATGATTAGGGACTTTCTTCTATTCATTCCGGTCAGCGCACCATCCCTCGGCGCCGTAATGTCGTACTTTTCCGCCACCATGAAAGTAAACCAGGAAGGCGACGTTGCCATTAGTGACGACACAATCCAAGGCCTAGGTACTACACAGCGTTTTCTTCGTTTTTTCTTTGGTTCCCTTTTCATTGTAGCGCACACACCGCCCTACAATCCCCTTCCGCCAGAGCCCAGCGCGCCGCTCGACATGGCTTCATCTACTTCGACACTTGCCTACCAAGGTACCCTCCCGCCACGGTCTGCACACGAGACGAGCAGCGCTCCTCTCGAAGAGATCCGGGCAGGACTTATAGAGAGCTTAGGAACCATGCTGATTGCTTGTGTTCCCAATCCAGGCTATTTCGTGGCGGGAGGCGTTGCAGGCATTGTTTCTCGCACCTCCACTGCTCCGCTCGATCGTTTGAAAGTCTACCTCATCGCCCAGACCAATGTTGCGGAAGAAGCTGTCGTCGCCGCCAAGCATGGCAATATCGTTAAAGCTGCCATGAATGCTTGGAGGCCACTTGCGACCGCCACCAAGGAGCTCTGGCAGGCTGGCGGTATGCGCAGTTTGTACGCTGGTGAGTATCTGTCACTGCTTTCTGATGACTGGAGTTGACGTTTGCCATAGGAAACGGCTTGAACGTCGTCAAAGTGATGCCGGAATCGGCCATCAAATTCGGGTCTTACGAGGCAAGTATAGTCAAATAAACCAACCGCTTCCCCTAACTCGCGCAGGCTGCGAAACGCGTCTTCGCTAAGATAGAAGGACACAATGACCCCGCCATAATACACTCATGGTCCAAGTTTGTTGCTGGTGGTCTAGCAGGTGAGTTCTCGGGATGATGTAATCGGACCAGCGCTGACGTTCTTCAGGCATGGTCTCCCAATTCGCCGTCTACCCCATCGATACCCTGAAGTTGTGAGTATGGTCAAGACATCCGTTCAACTCGCGCTAATCCAACCCAGTCGCATGCAATGCGAGACCGTCTCTGGTGGCTTACACGGCAACCGACTAATCTGGGCCACAGCAAAGAAAATGTGGAATGCCGGTGGAATACCCGCATACTACCGCGGTCTACCCATGGGCATCGTCGGCATCTTCCCCTACGCAGCCCTCGATCTAGGCACATTCGAATACCTCAAACGCTACGTCGCGCGTCGCAACGCGAAGCGACTTGGATGCCACGAACAAGACGCTGAGCCGGGTGGTTTCATGACAGCAGCCATTGGTGGTTTCTCCGGCGCATTCGGTGCAAGTGCTGTTTACCCGCTCAACCTTCTGCGAACACGACTGCAGAGTCAAGGTACCGTTCTCCATCCGCGGACGTACACGGGTATCATGGATGTCACGAGACAAACTATCGCGGGCGAGGGTGTTAGAGGGCTATTCAAGGGTCTCACGCCAAATCTGCTCAAGGTCGTTCCTGCCGTCTCAATCACATACGTCGTATACGACAAGTCGAAAAAAGCAATCGGCCTGCCGTGAGAACAAGAAAGAGGCCGAATACAATGTTCTGAAACGGTGGGGTGGGAAGAAGATTTCCATCATCTACCTACTTCACAGCACCAAACGACACGGCCATCAAGTGGACGTGTCCCTTTGCATATCAAAATACAGCGATACCCTTCGAGCTCTATACGCATCACTACTAGCCTTTTTTCTATCTTTTCTTCTTTTGCATCATGGCGTGGCGTTTGGGCGTGGGTGGTTGCGGGGAACGCAGCTTGTTGTCGTTGATTTGTCGGGTTGGGGATGATGTGGGTTCTGAAGTAGGGGCTATGTGTTGGCGAGGGTATATGTATGCTGTAGTGGTAGCTGTAGTAGCAATGATGAAAAGTGAGATATGGATATGTCTCATTCTCAGTGCAGTGTCAGACTAACAGCCCATATCTATGAGTATAACATCTCCATCAAATACATCTAATTCCTCCCACCAGAAACGCCATCCATCTATCCCAAATCCATAAGATTACGCCCTCCCCCACCCTCTCATTTCGTAATAACAATCAACAACACCAAAATAATAATCAACACCACAATAACAGTCAAACTCCAATTCTCCCTCGCCTTTCTACTAAACCGATCCAACCTCCCTCTCGCCCTCACAAACTGCGCCGCATGCCGATCCACCCCTTCCTCCACATCATCCAGCAACATGACCTGTCCGTCTAGCTCATCCCCTATCTGCATGGAGAGTTCGCGCTGCCGCCCGATGGACGCGCCCAGGCTGTCGAGTTGGCTGTCTTGGTCGGCGATGACGCGGCTGTGGTATTGGTGGATTTGCTCGTTATCCAAAGAAGTTTGGTCTGGGGTGGAATCTGAGGGGTCGTCGCGGTAGGGGAATAGGGAGGAGCGGTTTGGGTCGTCGGATTCATCGGAGGGGGCGTCTGAGAAGCGCACGGATTTTGAGGTTTGGCGCGTGGGAGCGGGTTTTTTGGATTGGGCGGCGGCGAAGTCGGAGGTTAGGGAGGGGTTATTGGGGGAGGTTAGGGTTGGTGAGGTGGGTGTTGGGGTGGCTTTGGTGGTGGTGGGTGTGAATTGGGCGGTTAGTTCTGCGAGTTGGGTGCGCAGGCGGGGGAGTTGTGATGTTATTGATCTGGGGGTGTGTTAGCAAATAACATTCCTGTATAGAGAGATGTCGGGTGGGCCTACTCGTCCGACGTGTCTTGGACTTGCGACTCCAGCGACTCGATGCCGGAGCGCAATTGCTCCAGTGAGCGCGAGATCTGGCCATCTTGGCTGTTGGAGGGGAGGTTGAGGGAGAGGGCGCGTTGGCGCTCGAGTAGCGAGAGCTTGATGTGGTCGGCGAGGAGGAAGAGCTGTGGGGGGTTGGTGGCCATGGTGGCTGTGGTGGGTGAAGGTTGGTTGCAGGCGGTGGTGTAGTGCGTGGTACGGGGTCCCAATGCGCCGGAGATGGTACGCGCGAACGAGGCGATTGAGGAAGGCACGGGGAATAGATTATACGCGATGCGCGACTATGTACAGGCAATGCGAAACAGATACAGTCAACGTTGCAGCTAAAGCGCGAGTGGAGATGGCAAGGCTGCTGCACTCCAGGAGCGGACCGCTGACGACAGGCCCACTACTTCGTATGCCGTGGCTGGGCGGCTGGGGCATCATTGGTGGGGAACGGCCAGGGCAGCACCATGTCGCTCTGTCGCGCAACCTCCAAGCCACGGCATGCTCCCTTCTGCTTCGGGAGAATGTGCCATCCTGACCGCCCGACATAGTCTTTGCTTCTGGCGCTCTGCAGCCCCCCGTGGATGACTGGCAGGGCGACCATCCGACCAACAAACCCCCCACAGCCACCTCGATCGACACTCAAGAGGAGACCCGAGACAGCGCATCTCACCGCCGACTGCACCTGCCCCGACGCGAGTGAACGCGATTCTCTTTCATAAGCGTCTATCCGTCGCCAACTCCCGCCAACCCACCACACCAACTCCCCCAGCATGTCGTCGCCAAGCCCCATCCCACCCCCGAACGACCGCCGGTCTTCACGCTCGTCGCGCTCGTCAAGCAACGCCAACTGGACTGGCTGGGCCGAGGAGCAGCACGGTGGAATGCCCGTCGGCGGCCCTCCCAGCAGCCCCTCGCCCTTGGCCGTCCGCGTCTCAAATTCGCCATCAACGAAGCGCCGTCACAGCCGAATCGTCAAAGTACCCCCCGAGTTCGCCAACCTCGAATACGTCTCCACGCCCGACAGCAACCTCACCTGCCTCATCTGTCACGCCCCCTTCGATAAGCCCGTCCAGCTCTCCTGTGACCACTACTTCTGCCGCGAGTGTCTCGATCACGCATGGGCGCCACAGCATAAGAGGACCTGTCCCACGTGCCGGCATGCTGTCGAAAGCGACAGTGACGTTCGCCCGGTGCCTAAGATTATCGAGACGATGCTGGACGAGCTGGTCGTCAAGTGCCCGAACACCAAGGCAGGCTGCAACTGGGTCGCCCAACGCGTCAACGTCAACGACCACGTCATGTTGTACTGCGAGTACACGCCTGTCGAATGCTCTGCCGCAGACTGTCGCTTGCAGATATCACAGAAGGACTTCCACAAGGGCTGCTTGCATTACACCGTCAGCTGCGACGACTGTCACGCTTCGCTCCTCAAGAAGGACCTCGAAGAGCACCAGCGAAGCCTCTGTGCTAATCGCTTAACCACCTGCACGCTCTGCTCGGCTGAGATACTGCGGCTAGACCTCAAGCCTCACATCAACAACGACTGCCCGAAACATGTCATATCATGCCAGGGCACCATCGTCGGATGCAAGTTCCAAGCCGAGCGTGCCGACGTCGTACTCCACGAACCAACCTGCGCAATGGCAACCATGGCGCCCCACTTCCGCGAACAGCAAGCCCGCATCGAAAGAAACGAGGCGCGAATGGAGCCCCTGACTAGGAAAGTCGGCATCCTCGAAGACGGTCTCACCAACATCACAAACTACCTGTATCCAGCCAACGGAAACGACGCCTCCTTCCCTGTTACCGATCCCCTGGACCCCAACGACACCGACCCCCAAGCACCCACGCCAGACTTCCGCCTCCCACCCGCTTCATTTCCACCCGTCCCACCAGGCGGAAACGACAACAACAACTCCGCCCAACCTCCTTTCGACTCCCAAGTCCACCACCTCCTCACGCTGCACGACTCCCTCCGCGAAGAAGTATCCCGCATCTCCAACGCGCTCACCGATCTCGACGGCCGCACCAACATGATGATCATCAACGAGAGCCAACGCTCCAAAGACGAAATGCTGCACGTCAACGCCGCAATCAGCAACATGCGCATGCACCTGCAATGGGTAGTCAGTGCGACACTCCAACAGCGCTCCAACGCTACCGCCACTTCCAGAACACCAGGTACCGCAGGCGCAGGCGCAAGTGCAAGCGCCGGGAGTAACGCTACACGTGCGGGTAGTGCTAGGCCTGGTCCTAGTGCTACGATGCAAGGGCCCTTCCGCAGGTTAAGTGACTCTAATAGGCAGGATACTAAGCTGTAGTAGATGAAGTAGTAGTAGTATCCCTTCCTTTTTCTTGCGTTTTACTTGATGGAAATGGAAATGGAAATGATCGCAGGTTCGATCTATGATGGGATGGACATGTCTTTATGAAAAGTGTTTTTACATGGCGTTTAGGGAATGAGGGAAATGCGGGGCTTGGGATCAGGTATGACGAACGCGTGCCTGGGTGGGATTAGGTTTATATACCCCTTCTTCTTTGATATCGTGGGTGCTCCTGCTGGCGCGGAATGGGGGGTTTCGAGCACGAGCAGCGGAATGCAGGCGGGGATGGAAATTATGGGATGAGATAAAGAAAATAGTGTACAAAACAATCAAGAGCCAATAGATATATCGTTCCATAATCATGCGTATGTTCTTATAGTTCCGGCACGTGAAGTCGTGTATGCCGTTAGTCGCAAAGCCGTGTCGGCGGATCATCGGTGACGTCATGCATGTGGTTTTATCGGACCCTGTATGTACCTGAAGATCGATTACGAGGCTCAAAATAATCCTGGCGACAACATCTGATCTTCACATATCTGCAGCTTGTCGTGTTCTTTTGAACTTTGCTATGGCGGGGAATACGAGTTCTGATATTCTGATTGTAAGTTTTCTCATATATCTGCGCGAGATTGTTGCATGATGGACGTTGGCATCTGGCAGCTGCGTGTATGCGACCGACATCGCGTCTCATCCAAAACGAACAATGGAAGATACGAAAGAGATGGATCCAAACAACCACATCACCTCATGCCCCCAAAAGTCAAGCACGTAAGAAAAAAGGCACTGAACTAACCTCACCACAATAAAAGGCCGGTGCCATCGCAGCCTTCACAGTAGACCTCCTCGTCTACCCACTCGACACAATAAAAACGCGCATCCAAAGCCCGGAATATGCTAAACTCTACACGGATAGCCGGACGGGCAAGGTGGATCCAAAGTTGTTCCGTGGTGTGTATCAGGGGATTGGGAGTGTGATTGTTGCTACGTTGCCGAGCTGTAAGTTGTCCCGGACCGATTAGTGGGATGCATAGCTGCAAGTGTTGTTATGTGACAGAGGGTTGAAGACGGAAAAGAGAAGGACGGGGGAGAAATAGGGATATATAGGAGGGATGGGAGATGATGTAGAAGAGTTGGAACAGGAAATGCAGAGATCGGGGAAGAAGGAGATGTACTAATTATGTCAATAGCAGGAGCATTCTTCACAACCTACGAACACACAAAATCGCTTTTCACACGCTTGAATACGAATACAAGGAACGAAGCCATCCTCCCCATAGCCTTCGTCCACGCCTCCGCCTCCTCTCTGGCAGAAATAGTTTCCTGCGCCATCCTCACCCCCGCAGAAGTTATAAAGCAAAACGCACAGATGGTCTCCACCTCCTCCTCTTCTTCTTCCCCTTCCCAAAACGCCACCCTCCAAACCCTCCAAAAGTTCCAATCCAACCCCCTCGCCCTCTGGCGCGGCTACACCGCCCTCGCAGGCCGCAACCTCCCTTTCACAGCGATGCAGTTCCCTATGTTCGAGAGGCTCAAAGAAGGGATCAAGAAGTATAGGGATGATAAAGGGTTGACGAAGGGAGGGATATTTGAGATGGGCTGGATTACCGCGCTGAGTGCGGGGAGTGCGGGGGCGGTTAGTGCGGTGCTTACGACGCCGGTGGATGTTGTTAAGACGAGGGTTATGCTCGCTGCTGCTGAGGGGCCGGGAGATGGTGGTGGAGAGAAGAAGAACGGGGGGAATGGAGGGAAGAGTGGGTTGGTAGATGCCCTAGGTAAATCCGCATCTTCCCCTAAAGACACGGTTAAGAATGCAGCGAAGGACGCGGCGGATTCCCTTAATCCGATGAAGTCCTCGCCCTCGCAGTCGGAAGGCAGGAAGAGTAGTTGGGCTGTGGGCAAAGAGATTGTAGAGGAGAAAGGGTTTAAGGGGTTGTGGAGAGGGGGTGCGTTGAGGGGTGTTTGGACGTTTATTGGAGCCGGGTTGTATTTGGGGGCGTATGAGAGTGGGAGGGTTTGGCTTGCGGGGAGGAGGGGGGAGAGGGTTGATGAGGATGATTTACTGTAGTGTGTGGAGGTTGACTGATGAAATGACTGTGTTTGAACGTGTACGAAAGACAATATCAAGGATTGAAGAACACTCTTTTCCGATCGATTTGATGGCTATATAGTAGCTCAAATTGTTTCCACCTCAGACTGAAATATAACCTTCAGCAATGCCGTGTGGCACTTAGTACCATGGGCATGATTGGCATATGCCTGGAGACGCGTTCCAGTCTGACAGCCGCCTTGAACAAAGTCCGTCGAACTCTATGCGGCATTTTCGGACCAATAAGGGTGGGGTGTGAACGGATCCTGACTGGCTTGATACTCTTCAGTCTCACCCTCATCCTCCGGGTAGTCTTCTGTGCACAAAAAAAAACCGATGTCAGCGATGTACATTGAAGTAACTTCGCAATGTACGTAGTGAATCTTACTTAGCATGAAAACCAGAGGTTCTTGCACCATCTCTAGCAGCATCTCCAGGCTGCTCTCTTCGGTCAACTTTCTCTGCGTTGACATGAGACGCTCGCGACTCTTTAAAGTGTCGCCAGCGAAGATGTGCGCAGAATAAGCTGACTTTGAAGAGCCGTCTGGGCGGGCGCTTGTGTTGGTTTCTTTGACGACGATGACATGGATAGGGATATCCTGGCTCATCATATAAGAGAATCGGGTCAATTCTTCATTTTAGCAGAATATCAGCCTTGAATCTTTGAACAAAAACACTAACAGTGGGAGGTAGCGTACGTACTGATGATTTGATCTTTCATCTCCTTCTGCCACATGATACTCTCGTACTTGGACATGGCCATGGTGATAGCGGGCGCGCCTCAATGGGACGACTAGATGTTGTGCGTAGGGTGCTGTGGAAGTGGGAGGTAGAAGAGTTGGAGCTTCTTGTCGGCGCGAAAAGTTCATGACCAATTGCAAAGCGCGACTCACACTCACCTTTCGCTCTTGTTGTGAGCTAGCCCGAAGCGGGGACAGCAAACAACCACTGAGCAAATTTTCAGCTTTGCTCCAGGCAGACACTGACATGGGGCTTAGATGCTCAGAGTAAGAGCAACGGGAGTGACGTAGTCTGCACGATGGTATGTTTTGGACGATGAGTGACATTGCTATCTATCTAGGTGGTGGCGTGTACATTTCCACTTTTCTGCATGTAGATCGCGGAAAAGACTCGTTGTATCTTCCCGGCTATGCCCTTCCGACCGTCCAATGCTCATTTCCGAGCTCCTATCTGGCATGGAACTTCATCCAGAGATCACCCAAGGCGTCCCTAATCCTCCAGCGTCGCGCTTCTTCGACAACGGCTTCAGCGTCGTCGACTTCATCCCCCATGATAGTAACGTATACTGGTTCTTCTGCAGATGCCTCTAGGAGCTCTTTCGCCAGCTCTGTCGCAATCACAGTCGATTAGCATGTAACCTTGGAAGTGTGTTTATGACAGCTGCGCGACTTACCAAGACTACTGCCCAGCTGGTCTTGCATCTGCTGCCTGAGAGCTTCGAGGCCCTGGGCAGTAGATGCATTCTCAATAGTAATGAGAATCTCCATGTCACCTCTCACAGAGGGTGGTGACTTGTAGACGATGAGGTGGGTGTCAACACCGCCCGGGGTGGATAACATGAAGCCGCCAAGGTTCAACTTTCTAGTGCTGTGGATGACGTCGAAGACTGAACTATTGGAGAAGCTGTCTTTGTACGTTGCGCGGGCAAGAGCTATAGCAAGAAGTGACGTTAGCATGTAGCAGCGGAAATAGCTTGGGGAGGATGCTTACACGAAATCTGCTCCTTCATCTCTTTTTCCCAGATGATAGTCTCGTATATGGACATAGCCATGGTGACAAGTGTATCGAGCTTGGGAGCGACGTGGTGTTGTTATGGTTCGGAAAGTGTGAGGTGGAAGACTTGTAGTTATCGCGCTGGAAAATTTCTTATCAGCTACAAAGAGTACGACTCACCTTCACCTCTTCGCTTATAACCCAGACTAACGGAAAAGACGATAGTGGAAGTAGCAAGCACTCACCGGACGGAGTTTCGGTGCTCAGAATCGGATACAGTCATGAGATAGCAGTATTCGGTTCATCGGTTACATTGCTATCTAGCAGTTCCAAGTGAGACTGGCATCTGGGCTACGGCTGTTGTGTATGTAGTGACAAAAGCTCCACATCCATCCTCTTTGTCATACCCTTCCGATCCCCAAATGTCTGGTTCGAAGTCCATGCTGTATACCTAGGAAGAGGCGTACTGCCACTAACCATGGAGTCGTGCGGACTCTACGAGGCTCTTCGCGAAAGCTTTCAACGACGACTCCATATCGCGGTCTACAACAGAGAGAGGCAGTCAGCATGTGCCCTTCAATGTCTCAGATACGCAACTTACTAGTCTTCTCGCTCAAGCGGCCTCTAAGATGTCCCAAGACAGCCTCCAAGCCTTCCTCGACAGTCAACTTAGCGATTGAGAAAATCAACTCCCACTTTTGTGCTGTGGAGGGGTCTTTGTAGACAACAAGATGAGTCTCGATGAGAGTCGCGCCCTTTTTAATGTAGCCCTTGTCGTCAGTGGTAGTGGCATGGATGACGTTGAAGACTGAACCCGCAGGGTATTTTTCGACGTAGAGTGCGTGGGCGTGGTCTGCGCGACGAAGGTTAATTGTTATTCAATAGCAAGGGATCAGCTACATGAATAATACATACCTAGAATCTGCTCTTTCATCTTTCCTTCCCACATGATGGTCTCGTACTTGGACATGGCCATGATGGCGACTATGGCGGGCTTGTGGTGCGGAGTTCAAGTTTTGGAAGCTCAGTTGTTTTGCGACAGTGGGAGGTAGAAGAGTCGGAGCTGCTGAGTGGAAAGTTTCTAATCTACTGCGCAAGACGCGGTCCCGCGCGCGCGCGCTCACCTTCACCTCCGCGCTAGCGTCTTGCGCTAGCTTATCGAGGAAGCAACGGATACACACTCGCCGAATATCTGTATTGGGGTTGAGAAGATTCACAAAACGGAATGTTCTAGTACGGGTTATATTGCTATCTACATGGGTAGCAGTACGGGTGGAACTCGATACCTGCTTGGGGTAGCGCAAGACCCTTACGGCGGTCTTATTCTCCGTAGACCTAGTGACAAAAGACACATCCTCATCTTCTGAGCTCCGTCTTTCCAGCTTGACAACGTCAGGTGAAGACACGTCACGTTTATCGAAGCCGCACTAATAGTATCCATCCTTCTTTTCCTTCTCGTCGGCGATCTTCTCCTGCTGCTCCTTCCACTCGGAACGTAGTGAGATGTCAGTACCCGGATCTGGAAAGAGTTCGTGGGGCGGCTTACTTATGGCACCATGCATCTGCTCCTTCAGCTTTTCCATAAGCGTGTTCAATCCGTCCGTGACGCTCTCATTCTTCTGTGTAGAATCGAGAACCCTCCACCTGTTGTTACTCTTCAACATCTCGTAGATGATCAGGTGCGTTTCGCAGTAAGTGAGGTCGTCGGAGATCTTGACAGTCGTGTGAACGATATCGAAAACGGAGCCCTGGCAATAGTATTTTCCATGAACAGCGCGTGCGTGAGCTGCGTAGTAGTCCAAGATTAGTCTCTGAGGATGCGGGGACGGTCAGGTGGTAGGAACAAACATAGAATCCGCTCTTTCATCTTGTCCTCCCACATTATGGTCTCGTACTTGTTCATGGGTTTAACCTCTGCGGTCGCTGACTGAGCCATCGCTGGTAGTCGCTGGTATGAGGAGAGGTAGAAGATAGTAGGATGCGCGAGAAGTTTCTTATTTGGGTGAGTACTGTGCGAAGCAAGCGCGACTTCGGATCAACCTTCACCTCCGCGCCCGTGTACTCAGCTAGTCCACATTTGGCAGTGACAAACACCCGAAAGTCCAACTCAAATGCCGTCATCAAGCTGCGGTCATCTAAGAGAAACATCCATCGCACCGCTCGCAACCGAACACTTATCTGCGACTACGACTACGATCAGGACTGCGGCTACGACCACGACCATGACTACGACTACGACTATGACCACGATCACGACTACGACTACGGTCACGACCACGGCTACGACTACGACTATGACGTGTCTTCTTCCCTGGGCGATAAGAATCCACATCTTTCCTACGGCTGCCCTTTGTCGCATTCTCATCCCCATCTTTCTTGTCGGAAGTCCCTGTCTTACTGTTCGGCTTATCAAGCGTCAACTTGAGTCCCACTCTCATCTGCTCCAAGAGACGTTCCAATCCACTCGCAACATCAACGTTGCCACCAAGAGAATAAAGTTGTTTCCAGTCGACGCTTTTCTGCGGCCGCTCGTATACGATCAGGTGAACGCTGTAGGGCTTTTCCTTATCTTTCTCCTCTTGGGAATAAGTGTGGATGATATCATATTCTGAGCCGTAGCCGTAGCCAGTCAAGAAGGCGCGGGCGTGAGCTTTGTGGCAGGATGGCGTTAGCGGCATTCATTGACATATAGGGTATGGGATGACTGGGGGTTGGGTGCTGGGAGTACGTACATTTGATTTGATTCTTCATTTCTCTCTCCCATAAGATGGTGTCGTACTTAGACATGGACATGCTGAGATGTTTCAGTGAAAAGACGGTGGTATGTGTGAGGGAGTGTCGAGACGGATGAGTAAAGCAGTTGAAGCTGTGGTATGAAGTGTGTTCGGAGAATACCGCACGAGATATATTCGCTACTGTTCGCAAATAGTGTTTGTTTAGCCAGGTAGCAAGCGGTCCATGATGATTGATTAACGTTTCTAGCATGTTCGATCAGTGTCTCGCAACGCCTCGAAGAGAGGGTTGTGGGAAAAACAATCGTCCTTGTTCACCTGCGCAGCCGTTCGAGAGTACAATACACAGTATAGCGGTCGCATGTCCTACACCTCCCTCTCCAGCACTGGCACAGGCGGCTTAGGTACTACATGATTCACGCTACGTCAGCACAGTGCCCTTCAAAGGCCGCAGTATAGCTTACTTATCATATCCGAAAGCCTCGTTTGCAGTTTCCTCATAAGTTCCTCCAAGCCTTCCTTCTCAGTCGACTTCCTGTCAGCACACAGAACGATTTGCCATTTGTCTGTGAGCGACAACTCGTCCAACGCGATGACATGTACGACATAGCCATTGTATCTTTGATCCTCGTTAATGAGATCAATCTTAGTGGTCACGACGTCGAATACGGTGCCGGGGCGGACCTGGTCAATGAACACGGCGCGTGCGTGAGAGACGATTTTCTTCTTCAACTCGTTCTCCCAGATGATGGCTTCGTATGACGCTGATGTCATTATTGCTGTGAGATATGATGTAGAAAAGAATTGTCGAAGATGACCTGTTATTTATAGCTGGGAGCATAACTTGTAACAAATGAGTCTTGAGTGTCATGGGATAGGTCACGAAGAGCAACAGCAATCGCTACTAAAGTGAAACCCACTTTCTCTCCGTTATCCAGATCCAACAGCCCAAACATTCACCACCCATCACCTCACCCTTTCCGCATTAAAACACCCTGTCCAAGGCGCAAAACTTCACGTATCCTCTCCCTCCAAACCCTCCATCGGCGGCGTAAGCCCTTTTCTCAAAACCAAAACATCAGCTCCATCCTACTACATGTTCATTCTCTAAACTCACCTATTGAATCCCCCAATTGAACTTGCAGCTCATGCAGAAGCTGCTCCAAGGCTTCTCCGCCAATAGTTTTCGGTTCTCCGGACGTAAGTATCTTCCATTCCTTTTTGTGTGGTCCTTTGTACATAATGACATGTGCCATGTATCCCGGGTGAATGGTGTTGCCCTCCCTGACATCGCAAGTGCTTGTTACGACGTCGAGTGTAGAGGTGGGCCGGATTTGAGCGGCATGTACGGCGCGTGCGTGAGCTGGAACAGTGATGAGTCAGTAGCTGACAGATATGGGATGGGAGGATATAGTGGGGACGTACATAGGATCTGACCCTCCATCTCCTTTTGCCAGAGGGTCTTGGTGTACTGGGCTTTGCTCATGGCGGCGGAGATCTTTTTGATGTGGGATAAGTTCGATAGCTGTCCTGCAGGGAACTGTTTATGTATTGCTTAGCGAACAACTCATCATTGATTCATCGCTTGTGTTCTGAGGTTGGTCACAAAGGATGACAACGAACGAGCGTAAAAGACAAACTTGTAAGTTTGCTCATCGAGAGAAGCTTCGTGACGCGAGATACGGCGAGCAGCCATGTGAATTCCATTGCATGACCTGTGTGGCGCAACAGCGTTCACTTCCTCTCCATCCTATGGATCTAGTCGCCCATAGATCCACCACCCTACCCACAGCCACCCACACCACCCTCTACAGCATCTTCCCCCTCTTCCTCCTCCCAACAACCCACCTATGCGCAACATCATAAACCGCCCTCGTCCAACTCCTCGTAATAATCTTCCCCTCAAACGTCCCACTAACCCAACTAAACAACACCAGCAACGCAGCACTCAACCCAAACGTCCACCCAAACGCCCGCCAATAACTGCCCACTTCAAACTCCAGCCCCTTGAACTGAATGCTAAAATACCCCGTCATCAGCGTCACAGGCGTGAACAGAATCGTGATCTTGGCAAGCAGCAAAGTAACCCAGGTGAGGCGCTCGACTGAGAAGGATTCTTTGATGGCGATGAGGTTGAAGTTCATCATTACGAGGGACTCTTTTTGGTCGAGGCATTCGGATATTTCGGAGAGGGCGTAGAGCTGGATGCGGTCTTTGAGGCGTTCGAAGCGGACGCGCGCGGCGGAGCTGAGGGCTACGCCGAGGAGGCTGTCGGCTTCGGGGACGAGGGGACCGGGAGAGTCGTTTATCACGGGGTGGGAGGAGATGAGGGAGGCGTTGCCGGAGAGAATGTGCGAGTTCTTAAGTGACGCTAAAGTGGCTTCTTGCTTTTTGAGAACGCGCTCGATGATTAATTCGTAGCTTTGGTACACGCGTTTTAGGACGGCGAGTTGGCAGCCGATGTGGTGGAGTTGGTCGACGTGGGTTAGGTTGGCTGTCTGGAGCATTTCTTGTCGGAGTCGGTCGAGCTCGGCAGCGTAGCCGTGTTCGCGACGGGAGATGAGATCGAAGGTTGCGCCCCAGTCTTCGAAAAGATAGTAGAACAATAGGCCTGGAGCATCCGTGGGACGGTGGGCTGTTTCCTCATCGCTGCTGCCGAGACGTTGGCGGATGGGTAGTTGAGTAAGCGCTGCCTCCCTTAGCGGCGTCGGTGCTTTAGTAAGTTGCCTGAAGACGTTCACAGTATTCCGACGCGTCGTGAAGAGTACCTTCACGTCTTCTTTGTTGAGAGCACCATTGGCGAACGGGAATGGGTCTTCGGAGATCGAGATGACGGTTTTATTCTCGCATAAGAGAAGCCAGTTCCATACACGTTTGCCGTGGGGCACGTCTCGAGTTCTATCCGAGATTATAGGGCGGGTGTTGGTTTCTTTGCTGCGGACGTTGTGTAGCGAGTTGTAGCCTATGCACATGTCTGTTTTGTTGTCAGCAGATGCTTTTCATGTAGCGTCTATGTCTCCTGTCAAGGAAAGGGTAACTTACATCTCCGACCCTGATCGACGGTACTCCAATGCCAGACATCGTCTACTAGCTGGTAGTGACTCAAATCTCGGACCAGCTCCAGCTGTGTAGATTGCATCATCTCCGTCAGACCGATACTGGATTCTGAATCTAAAGCTTGTTCGTTCGCCTGCTTCGCCTTTTCTCTGATTGAATTGGACATATTCGTTGTTTGTGATTTGTGGGAGAACACTGATCTCAGTGTGGAAGAACTCTTCTTCATGCGCAGTGACGGGTTGTTACGTGGCGGCATATGATCGCTCGTCATCATGCCCAGCAGTCGTGGCGTGAAGTCGAAGTGAGAGGCTAGCGTCTGGATCAGCTCCTTCTGGTTGTAGGGCTGCCAGATATTGATCCATCGCGTATGTAGTTCAGTCGGCCTTGGCGATTCCAGCAGCTTCTTGTATGCTTGGTCGTTGAGATCGAAAGCGCAGAAGGCATCGCCTTCATCTTCTCCAAAGTCGATACAGAAATTGCGGCTCCTGTGCTCTCTTGTTTGCCTATCGAAGAGGTCAAAGTTCCGGTCCGAATCGAAGTTACGGAAGCATTGTCGAATATCATCGTTGCCTGTGTCTTGGTAGTATGGCGGCAGGTCCTCGGCAGGTGACGCGGGCCGGAAAGGAATTGCCATAATGAGAGAATGTGGAGTTTGTTGGATCGTATGCGACGTGGGCGATAGTGATAGGAATAAGCGATCTGTTTGGATGACGAATAATGCCGAACATCTGCACTGGCGATGTGACTGCAGCTCGTGCTGGGATCTTCGTGGGTATGTGTCGTGTGTACCTTACAGTGCGAGGTCACGCGGTGCGGTTGAGGCTCATGCCGGCAAGAAGTCTCACCCAAGGCAGGCTAAAGGTTTGCAGCTGCTTGTGCAACTCCACACATCTTACCATTCTAGTTTGTACCTAACATAAGGTATCCTCTAAAGGTACTCGCCAGGGCTGACGCTTGCTTGTAACTGTGTGAACCACGGCGCGCAAAATTGGCATGCAGTATGGAGGCAGCTGAGACGATACAGACCTCTTCCAGGTATAGCGTTTCCATGACAAACGAACAAAAACAAAGAGATACGGACTTGAGTATGATGCACAAATGCGGCGACGTAGCTGGTTCGACCTAAAATAAACTTAGCAGCTAGGTCAAGGTACCTAGGTAGTCCGGACGGAGACGTTCGCGCATCGTGAACAGCAGATGATCAATACTAGGCGAACAGTCGAAGTAACACCGCCAGTTGATCTCGTGCGAGGATGGATGCGCAGGAAAGTTACGCAGCAGTCATGGCTTAGATGGAGGATGATGACCTGGTGTCGCGTGGTCTGAATCGAGATGGGCGGCTGACTGGTGGGGTCGGAAGATTGCGCTTGCCCCCTATTAGACGCCAAGCGCACCTTCCCAGATAGGCAAGTCCTGGAAGCCATCGAAGACGGTAGAGTTTCACTGTCAATGAGTCCAAGTTGAGTTGCAGTTCACAGATGACGTCGAACTGAATCCGCCCCAATAACGGGAGACAGCTGATACATGCAGTGAAGAGATATAAGCTTCTACCGTCTCAAATATGTACAGACGATAGCCCGAAGAGGCAACCAGTGAACCTGTGGATTACAGTGGTTTTCTATTCACTCTCCCGCATCTTCTACTTTTCCACTCAACCCTGCCTGTAGAACGTGAACACAGGCCGGAACAGGGAAGTGTTGGACAGCTGTCGATTGCAGAACCTCAAGGGTGAACTGGGCAGCTCATCCGCTAGGCCTTTGTACCTAGCAAGTGTGCTGCAGCGTCTCAACGCAGACGAGCTATACCATGTTCTCATAATGGTGGGGCATCATCGCGACTGCAGAATAAGGGTTCAATAGCTTATTGCCGTCTTCACATGCACACATGCCACACCATACAAATACCCACGATCTACTGCTCTATCAATATGCCAGCCGCCTAACGCGATTCATAGCCTTGCTTCGGCCCTTTTCGCTCTGCGCCTGCGGGTAAACCTCTCGACTGCTATATCCACGCCCGGCGGAGGGGAAGAAAGACGAGCACGTGCTCCATTTGGACCTCAACAGCGTTCGCCACGGTTACTCCCAACGCGATGGCCGGCCCACTCGTTCAAGCAGCTGCAGCTTCGCAGAGGCCTACAGCGGCCGCGACGCCCACGCTCCCAGGGTGACGTTCTCATAGGAGGCGCGATGGACTGGCGCCATTTCCTGAGGTATCTTGGCCGGCCAGCCAATCATGGGAGCGCAGGACACCCACGGGATCCTTCTCCCAGCGCTGCGACACAAAAGAGCCCACGCGACACCCCAATGCTGATAATGCACGCCATACATTGTCTCTGCCGTCCCTTTATCCCCTCTTTGTCGCCCTCTGACTTATTCTACGCGCGGGACACTGGCTGAGGACGTTCTATGAGCGCCTTTACTCCCATCATGCCTCGCCCAAACCTCCCTCCGACTCCCCAGCCGTCGACAGACATTACCGGCAAGAGCAGCGTCAATGCCCCTCAATTGGAGACGAGCTTCAACTTGCCACCTGCAGCGCTGGGTGGTAGAGGAAGTGTAGCTAGCTCCTCTGGTAAATCCGAAAATGCCTCAGACTCGTCCTACCGGCCACCTTCCCCGTCGTCCCCAGTCGCGACTTCCAAGCCCGGTCATGCGCGCAAACGCTCCCAGCAGAGCATCATCACCAAGGACGACTATTCTCTCCCGCCCCCGCCTACCCGATCCCGCAAGATCATTCAGATGAAGCCCAAGGATACCCAAGAAACGCCCAAGACCTCGTCCAAAACACAGGATGCGAAGACCACAACCGCTGCCACTAATGGTACCAAAAGGAAGCAGGCGGGTAACGCCACTGCTGCGGGACGTAAGATTGCAAGGAAGACGGCACACAGTCTGATCGAGCGGAGGAGAAGGTCCAAGATGAACGAGGAGTTTGGGGTACTCAAGGACATGATTCCGGCGTGTAGGGGACAAGAGATGCACAAGCTGGCCATTCTACAGGTACTTCCCGGCACTGACTTACAATTCATTCATACACTAACACACCCAGGCATCTATCGAGTACATGCGATACCTCGAGCAGTGCGTCTCCGACCTCAAGACCGCCAACTCCCGCCGCGACTCCCCATCCTCAGCTACATCCGAGCTCCCGCCACCACCAGTCCGACGCATGCACGACGACGACGACGAAGACGAAGAGCAAGACGAAGAAATGGAAGACGCCGTGTCACCCACCTATGTCGAGCCACCACCTGCCCAATCCAAATACACCTTCGCCCAAGCCTCACCCGCCATCTACCCCTCCGACCGAAGCGTATACACCCACTCCACCACCACATCCCCAGCCATCATACCCCACGATCATCGCAACGGGCACTACTCGGCGAACCCCTCCCCCGCGCTGCGCCCGTCCGACCCACACCACTAC